TTATCAAGTTGAAGGAGATTATATCATTTAAGCCCTTCATTTTAATAGCAATGAGAATTGCGGTCCAGAGAAGATATAAGACTTGTCCTTTGTTTCATTCTCACCTCTGCTTCTCAAGCATCATGGGAAAAGCACTTGTCTGATCAATCATTTGTATAAGTAAACATCATTGTTACGCTTAAGAATTGTCTCACACTTGCAGAGTTGTCCTGATCAGGAAAATCAAACTGAACAGTGCATAAGAAATACTTATAATCCTAGCCTGTTTTCGTGAATTATGGAGATTATCTAACACTAAAATCATCTTAATAGCTATCAGGTATCTTTTAGAAAGGATGACTGGTATTTTGATAATCAAATAGAAATGAATTAGGTCATTCCTACACATAATTCAAAACCCAATTCAACTGCCACCTAACTCGCTGAGCCTTTCTTAAACCTCTTAAAAAGATGTGATTACTTTCCTCTCCAAACTATGGCCTTTGGATATCTCAGTATACTTATATATATATATGCTTTAAGTTACGACTAATGGTGACTTTGTGAGACTTAACTTTCACGTCTGTTTTGTTCTCACTCTGTCAGTGGTGCCTAGCACATGCTTTGCTCAGAGTTGGCACTCAGTAAATGTTTTCAATAAATATACCTACCATGGCACCCCAGGAGAATACTACTCAGTTGGCTTCAATGGACAATCCTTAAACTAAGAATTCCAAAGACTTTGTCCCAGTTCACACACTTACAGCTTTGCAGCTGAAGGCAAGTCATTTAATTCCTTTGAGCCTTATCAGTTAAATGGGAATATGAACAATAAGAAATGAGGAATTGGTAAAAAAACTTTATAAAAGGAACACAGCTGTCATGTGGTACCATCTCTAAAACCCCTTCCTATACCCCACATAGTGTCTTTACAGGTAGGAAGCAAACAAATATGTTATTTTTTTATTAAAAGCAGTTTGTCCCTAGCCATCTACACACCTTTGTTGGAGGTGAGAAACATTACCAAGGCAAGATAAAATTACCTCCCCTGTGCAGACTGCCTTGCCTACTCTAGGACAGTTTCGTTATTGAACCAAGGGATCAGGGAGAGAAAGAAGACTGCTTCCCAGTACTTTGGGGGGCTTTCTTCTGAGCAGGCACCCTGGACCCAGGATTTGGGACAGGAACTTCTTGCGGGCACCACCCAGGGAACTGCCAGAGGCGTGGAGGTACATGGATGAGAACTATCCTGGCTTCAAGAGGATTCCCTTGGGGAGAGGCAGAGGGCCCAGCTATCTTCTGGAGCATCCGTGACTTAATATTTTCCTCCTGCAGTGGAAGGAAACCAGCAAACCAAACCCAAAAGTAAAGAAATTACTATGGAAGGCTGTACTGAAAATTTGTTTGGAAGAGTGAAACTGTGACTAGAAGAGTGTGTCCATTGCAGAGGTGGTTCTACCTTAAACCTCCTTGGTTTGGGCAGGGAGAGCAGCCACTAGATTTGGGCTTGAGCATGTCTACTACAAATAGGACTATTTCCCTGGAGCCTGGCAAGTTTTGTCGAAGGCTGACCAAATGTAATTGAAATGTGACTGCCTCTTAAATTGTGAAATAGATTTTACAGTTAACAAGTGCTTTAGAAAAATAGAGGAACAAGTGGCTTTAAAGTTCAGGATGTTAATATTTGAAATCTGTCCAATTTAATTAGCTGGGTCCCAGAGACTTTTTGCTTTTTGTCTGGTCAGTGTCACTGATCTAACACCCAATTCTTGCCTTGGTTGTGAGATAGGAATTAAATGTGTCATTTATTTAGTTGTATCGACCTGAATCATATCTCCCCAGCATACATTATTACAGGAAATAGGATACATCCACATGGAATTTACTCAGTAACTCTTCTTAGTGACATTTGTGTGATCTAATTCAAGGACCTGAAGTGAAGCCTCCACATGATTTATTTGCATATGATACAGCTATTTTTAGTACTGCATTTACATTTTTAAAAGCAAGGATGCACCTTCTTGATGAATTTTTAGACTCACAGACTCACAGAGTGTAGAACAAAGAAGTTTCTTAGAAATTAAGTCCAAACATCTTTTTTGTATTGGAGACAGAAACTAGAGTTCAAAAAGATTTAATGGTCCTGCACTAAGTTCACAGGCCAGTCAGTGATCGAGCACAAGAAACTAGATGGGTTCCCAATTCAAAGCTCTAGTCTCAGATCTAAAAACAGAGAGATGGTTTACACTGACAATTTGTCATAACAGGCAACTTTTTAATACAATGATAACTTAGCTACTTAAAACCTCTAATTTCTGCATTAGCATATTATAATTTATTACAGTCCTTGTAACTATCTACCCTTATTTTTCTTTCTTTGGTTGTGTCCTTTTAATTTTTGTGTATTTTTGTGAACTGCCTTAAAACCTTTGAATGATATAAGGTTGAAATAAAGTACTCAAAGTGATACTTTGTATTAATGCTAATTACTTAACCTTTCCATAGTATTAGGACATGACAGACCTAACAGTATTTCATCTTTTCCATTTATCAGAAATAGAAGTAGAAGCAAACTTTCTAAGTGGATGCCTAAAAAAATAGGATTCTCACAGTTGTTCCATTTCTTCAGAATGTAATGACACTGTGATCCTCATTAAAAAAAAAAAAGCCTTGAAATTGTTTTATTAAGCCTGGGAAATGATTTAGGAGTATATTTAGTATCTTAAAGTGAAAGATTGGCTGATAGGATTGAAATATTACCTGGGTATTTAGAAGAGCATTGCAGTTTATGGTCAACTGATTGTCAACAAGGGTGTGAAAACAATATTCTTTTCAATAAATGGTGCCAGTACAGCTGGACTGCCACGTGCAAAAGAATGATCTAGATCCCTTCTTTAATCCATATACAAATTAACTTAAATATGGTTCAAAAATCTAAATGTGAAAGCTAAAATTATAAAAATCTTAAAAGGAAACATGGGTGAAAATCTATATGACTTTGGATCAGGCAGTAGTTTCTTAGCTATAACAGCAACAAAAGAAAAAATAAGATAAATTGGACTTCAGCAAAATTAAAAACTATGTCACAGGACACTGTCAAGGAAACAAAGACAGTCTACAAAATGGGAGAACTCATTTGCAAATTATCTATATTCAGTAAGGGTCTAGTTTTGTTACAACTCAACAAAAGAAAGACAAATATCCCAGTTAAAAAGTGGGCAAAGAATTTTACTAACCATTTCTCCAAAAAAGATATACAACTGACCAATAAACATTGGAAAGATGCTCAGCATCAATGGAGAAATGCAAATCAAGACTGATGTATTGCTTCACACCTACTAGGAGGCATATAATTAAATGACAATAAGTGTTGGTAAAAACGTGGAGAAATTGGAACTCTTGCACATTACTAGTGGAGATACAGCTTCTTTGCAAACAGTTTTGGTAGTTTCTCCCATATTAAAGAGACCCAGCCATTCTGCAATGGTACAGCTTCTTTGCAAACAGTTTTGGTAGTTTCTCCCATATTAAAGGGACCCAGCCATTCTGCTCCTAGGTACAGGTACAAGTGAATTGAAAATTATGTTCATACAAATACGGATACACACATAATAGCTTTATTCAAAATAACAAGTATTGTAACAACACAAATGTTTGTTAACTGAGAAATGGATTAAGAAAATATGGTATATCCATAAAATGGAATATTAGACATAAAAAACAATAAAGTACTATTATATTTTACAACATGGATAAACCTTGGATATTTTATGCAACATGCAAAAAGCTAGACAAAAAGGTCATATTGTATAATTCCACTTATAAGAAATATCTAAACTAGGCAAATCCATGAAATGAGAAAGTAGATTAGTGTTTGCCAGGAGATGTGAAAAGAGGGGAATTAGGACTAAATACCAAGTATAGGGTTCTTTTTGTGGTTATAAAAGTATCCTGGAATTAGGTAATGGTGATTGTTGTACAACATAGTGAATATACTAAAATCTACAGAAGTGTATACTTTGAAATGGTAAATTTTATGCTATATGAATTATATCTTAGTGTAAAATACTAAACTTTTTAAAGAACATTGTGTACCCAAAGATAAAAGATGTTATGAAAAGTTAGAGACTGAGATTATAAAGAATTTCCGGTCATAAAGAAGTTAAATAATTTGGACCCCCCAAACTTCCCTACGACTGATAGGGAACTTGTCTATTCTGTAGCTTTGTGAGGATTAAGGAAAAGCTCCTGTGGTACGGTTTTTATAGCTGGACAAGAAGAATCAGAGTCATTAGAGGGCCCTTTACTTAGAGCCAAGGAATGTGGCTAAAGATGCCATGCAAATTGAGATGATAAAACCAAATTACCTCTGCTGAGTCAATCACCTCTAGTTCAGAAACAGCAGGGAGGATGAAAACTAATAGGGAGTTGAGGGTAGGACTGAAAGGATGTGATTTTTCTTTTTTAATGCGCAACACAACAGCAGTGCTCCCTACATTTTGTGCTATAATAAGACCATTTTCACACATTTTAATTACTCTGCGATAACAACAGTGTGATCTCCATCCACAAACATTTATTATCTATTTAATTTTGCTCTAATTTCAGTGTAGCAAGAATGCACCTTGTAAGTGGGAATAATTATCTGTGTAGTAAAAAGAAATCCCTTCCCATGTTGCTAATCCTGTTGTGCATTTCTATAATAAAGTATTAACAAATGGCCTTTATATTTTTCCATTTTTAGGTTGCATTTATAGAGTACTAATTTAAAAGTAGCATCTTTATGAACTAGAACCCTACTTGCTTCTTGAGTGTTAGTCAAGAATATTAAAAGTTGTAGAAGCTAAGGTTTTATATTTCTCATCAGGATTTTAGATGACATTTTTATTCTTTATCAACCTTTATAGTACTTGGTGCTGTAATGTTCATGATAAACTGTATAGAATTATCTTTGAGATACATTTTCAAAATGAGATTTATATAACTTAATAGTTATATAAATTGTTCTGATTGTTTTCCAGACCTGTCATTTACTCCATCCTTTATAGTGATGCTACAGGACAGAGAGGAATGGATAAAAATATTGGTGAGCAACTCAATAAAGCTTATGAAGCCTTTCGTCAAGCATGCATGGATAGAGATTCTGCAGTAAAAGAACTACAGCAAAAGGTATGTGGTTTTGGTTTTGAAAGTTGTTTATCCTGGTAAGTCGAATTTGAGAATCTTTTGTAACTGAAAAAATATTATATTGTTTAGAAGCTGCTTTGAAGAACTGTAATTACTGAAATACAGGGATATATTAATGTAATGTGAGATTTTTTGTTGTCTTTTTTTTAAAACCATTGTAACTTGTGGAGAAAATTCATTTTAAGGTGGTTGTGTTCAGGGAAGATGAAGAATGTTGTCGTCCATAAATGATTTTAAATAAAATGACATATTGTAAGTTAGAAGTATCAGTGTCCCAGCTAGTTTTGTTCTGTTTTTGTTTTTGTTTTTGTTTTTGTTTTTTACATTGTTATTTGGCTGGCAGGAAGATTGTACAAATCTTAATATATTGGTTGTTAATTTATAAAGTCGTTCATTCTTTAACTATAGCAGTTAAAAATAGACTATTTCAGTGAAATCTTTAATGACTTACCAGAAGTTTCGGAAATTTTTAAATTTCAGAAGTTTTTAAATTACCTCTGTATACGTAAAATTTCTGTTTAGTACTTGAGTTTCAGAGAGCAAATTGGAGAAAAGGTATATCCAGACAAAAATTACTTAGCCTAGTAGTTTCCAGGCACATGTCTGTTATTAATGCGTGATAAGGTTGAGCCCTGCAGCAAAACAATAAAAGTAAGAATAGTGTAACTGCTTTCTTGTAATTCTAAATTTATTCAATTTAAAATTCTGTCCTTTAGTTTGATATGTTTCCACATTTCTATACCATCAAAATAAAGAATTTTATTAACATATACTTTTATAAAATGATTAGGTAGAGTTACTTGTTTGCTTACTTAGTGTCATTATTTAGTAGTGTTTTCAGGTTCTCCAGTAGTTATACATTCTGTGATACTCTAGAAGTACACACTGGACACAGCATACTCATAGCTGACACTGACCACAGAGACATAGTAAAGATGCTAACCAGATCATTAATGGAAAAGACTCAGGCAGAGTCCAGAAGATTTGATGCGCAACTTTCCCATGCTCTTTCCCTCCTGTAAGGGGTCACACAAAGTGCCCTCTCCCTCCAACTTCAAAAATTCAGCATATGTATGGTGGTTCTGTATAGGGAACTCCATTTGAGACTTAATGATTTTTATTAAGGGCTGGTCGCAGACATACCTGACAGCCCAAATCCAAGATTATCAGAAAGGAAGTAGGTGTTCACCACAAATTTCATGGTATAGTTTAGGCAGGCTGGCACAGCAGTTCAAAACCTTACCACTTAGGAAATGTTTTCAAAAGTCAGGTTCCCAGATGCCAATCAAGGGCCAGCACTGCAGGTTATGCTATATTAAATTAATCCTGCTCAGACAGGTAAAAGAGTGTGTGTGGAGGGCTGAAACAGGATCACTATCTAACACCATACAATTGATTAAAGACCTAAATATAAGACACAAAACCATAAAACTCTTAGAAGAAGAAAACATAGGCAGGAATCTCTAGAACATCAGCATGAGTAATTTTTTTCTGGATATGTCTTTTCAGACAAGGGAAACAAAGGCAAAAATAAACAAATGGGCCTGCATCAAACTAAAAGGCTTCTGTACAGCAAGAGAAACCATCAACAAACTGAAAAGGCAGCGTACTATATGGGGAAATTTATTTGCAAATGATATATCCAATAAGGGCCTAATATCCAAAATATATAAATAACTCATATGCCTCAACCCAAAAAAACAAATAATCCAACTAAAAAATGGACAGAGGACCTGAATAGACATTTTTTCAAAAGAAGATATACTGATGACCAACAAACATGCGAAGAGAAGCTCTGAATCACTAATCATCAGGGAAACTCAAATCAAAACCACAATGAGATAACACCTCATACCAGTCAGAGTGATCACTACCCAAAACACAAGAAATATTAGGTGGAGTAAAGGGAACCTCCTACCCTCTTGGTGGGAATGTAAATTGGTACAGCTGCTATGGAAAGCAGTCTGGAGGTTTTTACCTGGTAGTTTCCTGAAGAAAACAAAATCACTGATCTAAAAAGATACATGCATTCCCGTGTTTATTGCCCCATTATTTACAATAGCCAAGATATGCAAGAAACTAAAATGTTCATCAATAGATGAATGGATAAAGATATGGTACATTATACAATGGAATATTATCCAGCTATTAAAAAAAGAGTAAAAAACATGGATGGACCCAGAGAATATTTTGCTAAGTGAAATAAGCCAGAGAAAGACAAATACCATATGATTTCAGTTATATGTGAAATCTAAAAAAACAGAAATAGATTCATAGACACTGAGAAGTATCTGGTGGTTACCATGGGGAGGGGTTGTAGTATGTGGGTAAAATAGGTGAAAGGGATAAAGAGGCACAGAATCTCAATAATACTATAAATTAGTCACAGGTATGAAAGTATGGCATAGAGAATATAGTCAGTAATTCTGTAATATTCTACGTTGATAGATGGTAACCACACTAGTTGGGGTGAGCATTTAATATTGCAGGTAACTCAAATCATTATGTTGTAGAAAGAGGAAGGAAAGAAGAAAAAGAAGTGTGTATGTGTAGGGGAGTCTTATGTTCGTTCCTTCAATTAAGAAAAATTTTTTACTGGCCTGTGAAATTCTGAGGTCTTAAGAAGTATGCTAGACATGCATTTCTTAGTTTCTTCCATGAGTATAGGAACTATACAGTTGTCGCACTTCTTTCCAATTATCTTCTACAGAACTCATATAAGTTGCCTGAATTCTTTAAAAATCATCATCATTCTCTGTGATTCTCCTGTTGGTTTATAAAATAATTCTCCCACTTATATAGGTAGACATGAACTATGGGTCTTCATTAGGGGCACATAGGAAAAGCAGAGGCATAATAATGATAGGGAGCTTTCTAACAATTATTGAAATGAAGTTTAGAATTTGGATTTCTATTCCTTTCTAGTTCAGGTATAAGGCATAATCATTTTTTTAAAAAACAAAATAAAAAATTCCCAGCTTTTATTCTTCTTATTTTCCCATGAGGTTTAATATGAAACTTCAACAATCCTATACCTATTCTAGAAAAGTTAGGAAGCACAGAATTAGGGAAGAGGGGTATTGAGATCTTCTTAAGTTAAGGCAGAAACAGGAATATTTTTACTTCCTCCTCCTCCTGCACTGACCAATGGTGAACAACTTCATTTCTTGTAATTTAACATCTTATCTGCCATAGAGGAAGCTTTGCTCACATCAGCAATTTCCCAGAGAGGGGAAAGAGAAATTTTTTCTGTATATATTTGTTAGGTACTCAAGAATAAGAGAAGAAAAAATATATACTGTATATTCTTATATATTAAATTCAAAATATCCTGATTTGTTAAAGAAACTTTATTGATTGTCTACTATGTACTGAGTCCTTAATGAGGTTCAGTATCAAAATGAAACATAGTTTAAGCCCTTAATGAACTTCCCAATAAGTAAAGAAGGTAAAAAGTAATATCAGTAGTTATTACCACAGCATACTAAGTGCTACAGTAAAGATCTGTGCAGTATAATCTATGAGAAGAGGTACCTAACTCAGTCTAGGCGTGTCAGGTCGTAAGTCCATTATCAAGATCATCACTTGGGCTAAGATTAGGAGGAGTGGATACATTAGGGAAGAAGGGTTTTGCAAGCAGGGGAAAAGTATATATAATAAAAATTCAGACATGAGAGACTTTATGGTGCATCCCATGTACCATAAGATGATGCTATGGCTCCAAAAAGAAGAACTAGAGAAAAGTACAGAAAAAGAACCTGTGAAGATAGATTAAGGCCCTTTACAATGAATATGACAAAGTGGTTTATACTGTATTGTTATTCAATCAAAATTTACTGAAGGATTAATATATACTTTAGAAAGTCTTCTGACAGTAAGATGTCAAGTAGATAGGATAAAGAACAGTGTAGAATTCAAGTCTTCCTGACAGTAAGGTGGAGGATAGATAGGATGAAAAACAGTGTAGAATTCAACTCAACAAACATATTAATGCTAAGCAATGTTCTGAGAACAAGGAATGTAAAAATAGTCAACCATCAAGTTGTACTTTATGTACAACTTGTACAGTCAAAAATCTGCATATAACTTTTTGACTCCCCAGAACTACTAAGAGTCTGCTGTTAACTAGAAACCTTATCAATAACATAAACAGTCAATTAACATGTTTTTATGTTTGCTGTATTACATACTGTATTCTTATAATAAAGTAAATTAGAGAAAAGAAAATGTTTTTTCAAGTCATCATAAGTCTCCAAAAAATTTTCCAGTACATTTATTGGAAAAAAATGCATGTATAAGTAAGTGTTCAAAAACCCATGTTGTTCATGGAGTCAATTGTGTAATCATAAATAAATATTAATAAACATGTTATATATACATATACTTCAAATTTTAAAAAATGAATGGAAACCATTTCAAGCAATCAAAATGAGGACTTAAGCATTACAGATAATTTGGAGGAGAGAGGTAAGATTTATCTAGGAGGTAGAATGGAAATCAGTTGGCACCTGAGTGCAGGCCACTTCTGAAGTGATGGCATAGATTCTAGGATAATACCCAAATATTTGGAATAGAAGACTGGATTGATGATGGTGCTGATGACTAAAATGAAGAATGAAGAAAGTGCAGATTTGCGGATGGGGTATAAGATCTATAGTTACCTGTAGAACAAGCAGGTGAAAATGTCTAATGAATTGTTGCAAATACGGATTTAGAAGCCTAGGTAGAGTTCTGAATTGGAGAGTATAGATAGGAGATTATAGAACAACAGATTTTATTATAGCCTTGAATATAGGTAACATTTCTAAGTCAGAGTGGATAAGGTGAAGGAATATTTAAAGGACAGGAGTAAGAAGAAGGAAATAAGGTCAACCAGTTGGTTACTAGAGATTCAGAAATGGGGTAAGGAATTTACTGTGAACAAGAAGAGAAACACCTATTCCTCTGAGAACTAATTTATCCTCATCTCCCATGTACTCCCA